TTACATAGCCATTAGTAATATCGCGAGGTAGTACGTGATATTGTAGAACCACTAGTTTTTTTTAATATTTTGTTATTGTTACACAGGATGAGCGTTTAGTTTTGCTATTAGAAATTCCAAATATTTATTTCCTAAATTCCTACGTCTCAACGTTTGGAACTTCCTTCCTCTAATAGAAATCTCTCCTCGTCCTGCAACTGCAAGAATAATATACCTAAAATACTTAAGAATAAAAGAATATGAGTATCGACCACCGGCATTACAATACCAGAAATAAAGATCGTAATAAATGATAATAAAATATTTTGGTTTTGAATAGAAATATTTGATTCATTCGATAATTGGAGAAAATATAGTAGTTGAGTTCCTGCTAATTTCTGATGCACGCAGAAATTGTAAGAAAGTTAAGAAGCCTCCCGCCATGTGGTTAGAGTTAGATGCTCAGAAACTCTGAAAAAACAAAGAAACAACTATATTACTAATTTCCAATGAGCGCAGTAATTGAAAGACAAGCTCCTGTGAAATAAAAACTATTTGCAAAGGAAAATCAGCTACAGATTTTGACTTTTATTTTTTTCGCGTCCTTCGCGAAGTAGTCGACTTAGTGCCGCGAGAAAATGGAGAATGGTAATTCGAATTACTATATTCCCAATTGAACTTAAAATCATGCACGACTGTGATGTTACATTCATGTCCAGAAGCAAAACAGGGGCCGTCTCGTCATTCACTCAAAGGATCACGAAAAACCTGATCGAGATGGAGGTCTTGACCCACAAGGTGAGTTGCAATATTTCTTACAGGCATATTTAGTCTTTCACAGCATTAATAAATTAATCAATGTATTAATAAATTGTTAAAATTAATAATACTTTTTATAATAGGTGTAGACTAGAAACATGCATCATAAAATATTTTACTTGGCGCTTACAATTGTATATATATGTTTTTCGATGCCCATTAATTCCATGAAAAATCGTTGATTATGAGTGTGTTTATGGCATGCCTGCAATTGAAAGTCCACAACAGCCCATCAGAACTTAAAGAATTGATCACATTTTTTAATTATGTACAAGTATCGATAATACAGACGGCATGAATAATGTGCATGTATTGTATGTGCATTTTTTTAAACATCATAAATATGATTACTAAGTCGAAAGTTATAGTTATAGACGGCAAGATTTATAAAATTTAAGGTCTCGAAACGCGCTAGAAATTCATTATTAACGGGAATAGTTATATATTTATAATATAATTTAATAATTATTCCCGAGGTACCGGAACGCCGTTTCGGTGCGTTTGGCCAGGAATCAAGCCCTGGTTATAAACAGGTGTACTTGCTGTATATCTGTTCCCACCCTGAGTTAGTAATTTTTAACAAAAGCCACTGATTTGTAAATCAAGAGGCAATGCTATGGTTTGGTAGAATTCTGAATACGTTTCCCTTTCCGTTGGTTATAAGTAGAGCCCAGATTTGTATACAAATGCAAATATTTTTTTGCTAATGGTTTCTCAGAAAATTGTTATCATTTCTTTTGGAGCTTTCATTTGGAGCTTCCTGACTAATTTTATTTTGCTTCTTTTCGCATATCTGAAGGTAACTTCATGTTTCTGCACTTTCAGCGAAATTTTTGAAACAATAAGGGAAACTTGGTAGTTTATTTAAATATTAGTGACATTTAGCTAATTCAAAAATATTGTCGAAAATAAAGCCTCTTGAAACCTATGAATAATATTAATTCCACAGTTCATTAAAAACACCTCATTATTGTTAGTTTCGGAGTTAACTTCCTTTTAGTTTGAAAATGTGATCAACGGACGCATTTGTTCGCGCCACGTGCATGACTGAAGGCAAAATTGGGTTTCAGATTTATATGTTAGATTTATTTGGTCAAAAAACAGTAAAAACTATATGTGACGTATGGGTGAGAAGTTTATCTGCGATCGTTTTCTTGAGTTCCAGAATCCCATTCCATAATTTTAACTATAAATAGTTTAATGATGAGTAAGAGGTAAGAATAAATAAATAAATAAATAAATAAATAAATAAATAAATAAATAAATAAATAAATAAATAAATAAACCGTGAGATTAGCAATATCTGATAAAAACTAGACATTTTCGTTCCCGAGTACTAAAGAACTAATTTGCAACGGTAAACGAATTGCAGATATGATTTTTCTGAATGCTAACAAAATAGTAACTCGCCTTTACCTCTACTCTTACCACTACGAGCAAAACGAGAGTTCAACAAATCGTGCGCATAGTGAAGCTACATTTACACTCAGAAGCAGAACAAGGGGCCATCTCAGCATCTGCTCATGGATCAGGGAAACTGGATTTCCGAAGAAGATATCTTATCGGGTAAGAAATTCATCGAGGCGAGAGCTGTCGTCCGTATCAAAGAAAGGTCTTTCGACGTACAAGGTGGGAACATCGCAAGCTCACAGGCGACATTTGTGAAGCTAAAGGGGTGATTCTATTCTATCGGGGATAATTCTGTCTTATAAGTAATTTTTTTACTGACTGCTAAGAAAGGAGGATCAAAACAACAAGAGCTATACAGAGTCTAAATAGACAAAATCTAATAAAAATAAGGACAACAAAAATGGAAAACAAACTGCAATCATTAACTAAGGTGTAAGACAAGGATGGCGATTGTCATCTACCTTTCATAATATATATTTTGACGAAGTTGTAAATGAGAAGCTAAATATTTCAAACAGACAATTTAAAGTAATAATATAAATATTACCACAGTATTGTTTGCATATGATGAAGTCATTATAGGCTCTATAGAAGACTGTATCATAGAAGCAATATATAAATTAGAGAATATAGCTATAAGCAATATAATCTGATTATAGCAACAGGCAAAACTAAAAGCAAGGCATTTAGACGTTGTGAGACAATAAGAGCAAAAATAGCTCTTGGAAAAGATATAATTTCTGCTTGTAATATTAACTGTATTTAAAATTGAATGTTTTAAATTGTTGATAGAAAGGCAATCAAAAATGTACATTTTCATGTAATGTAAAATTTTAAATCAGATAGTGATCGCTTATGATCACAGTTGCACAGCGATCTAAAATAAAATAAAATATTTAAGACAGAAAAGAAACTATAATGAAACTACAAAATAACGGCCCCACTCATCGCAGTCATGCTGTTATACGGAAGCGAATGTTGGACATTAAATAAAGACTAAATTAGAAGATTGGAATCGGCTGAAATGAAGTTTCTTCGAACCATAACAAGTTATGCACTTCTTGATCACAAGAAAAGTGAAGAAATTAGAAACGAATTAAAATGTTTAAGTGTGAATGACATTATTAAAAAATATAGAGAAAATTGGAAAAATCGTATGTTAAGAATGCGCGAAGAAAGGATAGTCAAAGTTGCCCTGAAATGCAAACCAAAAGAGAGAAGAAATGTGGGAAGACCACTGAGAAGATGGAGTGTACAGTTTATCAGAAACCGGAGCAGACTGAACAAGTTTTAAACCTTACAGTTGATGATGACTGCAAAATCAGTGTAGTGCTTCTGTTCGCCATGCCCAGAAGCTACGGAAAGAGGGAAAGAATTGATCGCATCATCCAATAACAAAACACCGTTTTGCAGCTAATGGAAAGGTGTTTTTAACTCTTATAAGAAGCATGTTTCATCTATTCTAAATTTCCCATCACAAACAAACAAGTTAATTGATTGAATTCTTGCGCAAAACGGAGTATAAATTGCTTTAAAAAATAAGATTGTTTTTAAACATTTATTTTTACTTTCCCGTATACGTATGCATAAACGGACTATTATACGTAGTATAGGGAAAATTATGTAATGCTGTGGAAAATCGATTTCCAGATTTCAACGGAAATACATGTTTTGGGGTCTCTTGATAGCGAAAGAGTGTTTTTTTCAAAACGCCCGACTGTCTGTTCGTCCGTCTGTGAACACTACTAGCGCCTAAACCATACGTAGGATTCGTGTTACAATAATATTTTTTATATTTACATTACATAATCTTATTTTTTATATTTACATTATTTTTTATATTTTCGCTAGCACTTTTAGCAACATCTGCCTTAAATATTGTATTATTATAGTGGAATATTTGTTAGTTGAATAGAGTTATTGCCTGTGCTTCATTTTGTTTTCAAAACATTTTTGAACAATCATTCTAATTTCAAGTACTTCAATCTCCAACAGCAATACATTATCTGTGGCAAATTGATCACTGATTCTATTTCAATCTTGACCAGACTCGAACAAAATAATAAGACAAAAATACTTTTGAATGGTAGATGCTTCATTTTTTGTACACATATTTATTGAATAACAGCAATTTTATAGAAACCTGACAAATATCTTGTCTTAATTTATAGATATTGACAGTAACAGTTACCTAATATTTTTTATAAAATTGCGCCGGTCGCTCTCCTGTTATATAATGTACGTTGCCCTAGAATACGCTCAACGAAACAATGCATGATATGAAATAGGTACTAAAAAGATTTCCTAAAAAGTTGACTCTTGTCAACCGGTTTGAACTTTGCATGTTTTATTGCCAATCCGTATTTGTTTTATTCCGGTCGTGGTTACTATGCGAAGTTTAAAATATTACGTAGGACAATTACATACGAAAAAGAGATTCCAACCAATACTGCGGTAGAAAAAGAAAGAAGATAATTTGAGTAAAAGCATCCAAGGTAGTATGGTGTAGTTACCTCTTACGGAATGAAAATTGTAGAAACAAGAGGAACCGTAATAGTAAAAGATTATGCATGTAGTTTGCACAAATTCTTGTTGACGTAAACTACTGAATACTCTAATTAGTACCTTTCATTTTCTGTGAAGAACGATGTTTATTATTGAATTTTCCGACTATTGTTGGGTTGAGACGTGACGTGCGGCGACTGCCCATGTGTTCGTGTAGTTTCGTGTACTTTCGGTGTTCGTCGTAATCCTCCGATTTAGTTAGCGTTTCGTCCGGTAGGAGTGTTGCCTGTAGCATTATTCATTGGGGAGGAGAGCGAGCAAGTTCTCGCTCAGTTACGGAGTGGAAGTGCAGGAGTGTGGATGTGTTTAGTGAACCGATTTTTTAGTTTTTTTATTCCTGTCTCCCCATTTCGGAAAATCCGTTTGCATTTAGGAAACTTGATTTTGTGCGCGTGGTGGTGCCCGTATCACCATGGATAGTGGCGGTGGAAACACAGGTTCTTCTGACCCTGCTAAAACTAGTACGGTAGAGACTGCGACAAATTCTCTGCCGGGGTGTGGCTGTTCCTCGGCAAATAACATAACTGTTCGCGTCACGCCAACCACAGGAGGCCAGTTTGATCTTCAAGTTGCGAAAACCGAAAGTGTAGAAAACTTCAAGAAACTAATTTCTAAGAAGCTTAAAGTGCCCAAAGAAAGGATATGTTTGTTACATCGAGACAGGTGAGTCATTTATATAATAGCGTCTTGATACGCGCGAAAACTTCAGTTTCATAAAATGCGACGATGTTGTGAACAGAATCGGCTGATACGATATAATACACGAGGGATAGTGAGCGTAACTTTAATTTGTTTAGTTTGTTTTGCGTGTTTATACTGTTATTGCCTTCAAACTTAGGAGTGTTCTTGGCTTTTTAGGCAACTCCGGGAAGGGACGTTGCAAGAAAATCAGCTAATGGATGGCAGCAGACTCACTTTATTACCTAGTGTCGAGACAGGTCTTTTGGTGAGTAATGAAAAATATGAATTTTAGTAGATTGAGACTATTGCACGTGCGGCTTCGTAAATATTTGTGTTCTTTCTTCTTCCGAATTGTGTATTGTGAATGTTTTATGTTGTGTGGTTAAGATTATGTAAGCATGTACGGGCGAAGATTAGGAAAGTATGTGCGCAACGTGACATCTCGTACTGTGCCCCTTTGTGATTGCGCGTATAATTCTAGATTGTGGCGTCAAATGCAGCGTTTACGCGTCATTAACTTGGAAACATATTTCAGGGTTTTAACGCATTCGGGTTGCCACCCTAAACATTTGTAGTCAGGGCGAAAGCCTTTAGCTTAGTTTTTTTCGATTTTCAATGCGAATAATTCCTTAATTATTTCTAAACAGCTCTCCATCAGTTCTTTTGAAGCTGGATTTTTCTCGGAAGAGGAGCAGTTTAGTACTATTCACATCGTAACGGTGTGTTCGGTCGCAATCGATTGTTTCAACTTCGCGCTTCTGTACGCGTTGCATTACGGTCCCTGCTGGGGAAGGGAACAGCCCGACTGCAGGGATCGGATCCGATGCGAGCCAAGGTCACCGGTCCTTTAAATTTAACGCGCTTCCTGTGCGTGTGGAGATGAGCAAAGTAGATGAATCATACTGTGAATGGCGGCAATTTCTTTGATTTGTCTTTACGTAGGTTTGGAAAGAACGTGAAGATGTTGCTGACTAAGTAGTTTTACATTTTTATCGAAGTTAGTTTTTAACCGTGTGAACAACTATAGGAAGGTTCATTGATGTAGTATGGTTGAAAATAGCAGGTATTTTCGCGGACACATGCAACGTGCCTGTAATATCTCCCACAGACGTCACATAAGTTTTTACTCTATTATTATCCGTTTTAAACTTATTTAAATTATCCGTTTACGGAAAGTGGGAAAATCACGTGATCAGTAGTTACCAGCGGACCGTTATATATATATATATTTTTTTTTTTTTGAAATCAGGATAAATGTTATAATATTCCAGTATCGCTCCAGTGCAGCTCGTGACCTTGAAGTGATCTCGTTAACCCAAGATATAAATTCAAGTTTATAGCACAAAATGTTAAATTTTCTTTTTTGTTTCTTATGCAATTATAAATCTTAAAATGTGTGCATACACTATTTGCAGTTTTGAGGAAAGGTTTGATTATTATTCCAATGCAGTTGTTTTTAGAGACCTTTCTTTTAAGACAAAAAGTTGGAAACCACATTAGGAACATGCTCCCCGAATTGTTTTTTCTATTGTTTATTTTTAGCAAGTCAAGGCAAAGATTGTTTCCGTAGTGCAAATATGTTTAATGTAAGTTTTCCGTTTTAATATTGCAGCGTTATTTTCGTGTATGTAGGTTAATGGCCATGCACGCTCAATAGCCTCCAACAGCATGCCATCGTAATTTCAAAACAACTTTTGTTTTGTGTAACGCCATATAGTAATTTAACGTTTTATTTCTAGAGTATGCTTATCTATTTACACGCATGTTAACGAAATCAATGCATTTGGGTTGGGATGACAAAGTAATTTCTAGGAGTACGCATAAAATGTCAGAGATGTGGAGCTAAGTGCATTGAGTGAAGCTAGGCTTTTTGTATAGGCAAAAGCACGAATCACGTTTTTCCCGCAGCCATTAAATTTGACCGTTAAAGCGACAGATTTCCGAACGCTTAAATGTTTCGTGTGTAGGGAGGGAGGGGAGTGTAAACGTTAGCGGAGGGAGAGTCCACGAGACCTTCGGCGGGATTCGTCGCTGCTGATATCTGCAGCGGGCCGAGACAATAGACAGCATCGGTTGCGCCACGGCGTCGAGGTTGCCCCATTCACGGGCGGCGCCGCCGGGTTTCGCGCGCCGGAGGAGGAGGAGGTGGTGGTAGTGGCGGCGGCGGCTGCGCAGAGAAACGCGCACTTCCGCTGCATCCCGCCCCGGGCGAGCGAGCGGGCGCGGGCGGGCGTGGCCTGCCGCCGCGTGTCGCCCCGACCCGGCCCGGCCGCCCGCCGGGGGGAGAGGGGGAGGGAGGGCTGTTGCGCGACAAGCAGGTGAAACTCGTGTGAAGGGGACCTCGCGCACGGCGGCGGCGGCGCGGGGCTGAGGCGGAGAGCCGAGGGAAAGAGAGAGAGAGAGAGCGAGGAGGGACGGACTGAGACGGAAAGGGAGGGCGAGGGCGCGGACGGACTTGAGAGTTTTCGCCGAGCCAACGCTACCAACCTCACGGACGCTGGCTGTCTTTCGCGAGGCGTGTGCTCCCACGCATTTCGTGTAGCTATACACCCGATTTGTTTTGGTTTTTCAGAGGAAACTCAGGAATGCTCCTCATTCCGCCTCGCCATTTGAGATAAAAATTACAATTAAGAGGTTTTTTAGTATTGTATGAAGTATTTTTTAAATAAAAGTTTCATGCATTTATTGAAATATTTTCTGGGGAAAATCATTTTTATTTGGACAAGTCTATAGATCGTAGATCTTGCGATCAACAATCCCTTTGGAAAGCTTAGAGTAGTACTTGCATGGAAACGACATTTTATATAATTATGAATTGTTATACCTTGATGATAACAGGATTGGGGATTCATTGAAATTGTATCGTTCCAATTTCAAAACGCTTAGATGCAGTTTAAAAAAATAGGTTCGCTTTTAGGGGGTGCGAGATTTCCACAACAGTGACAGAGCTGAATGAACACAATAAGGATGATAAATGAACGTTTCAGAACATTTGTGAGATAATGACATTAGCTTTAGTCTAGAATATATTGTTAAAATCAAAATTTAAAAAAGTATGCGATTAAAATTAATAAGTTTTGAAATGTGTGAAATTTCATTCCAAGTAACTTATTTTTTCTCAGGAAGTGTTTCAAAATAAAATGTTCATGTCGGGAGGTGGGGGACCCAATGTTACCCTGTATTGTTATTAGTGTGTAATTGAACATTTATATTGAAGCTTGGGCGTCGCTGACGGGGAATCGGGGAAAATCTCTCGCAAAATTTTCAAATAAATTCATTAGTTTTATTCTAATCTCATTTATTGTTAATGAGACTGAATCAACTCATCAGTATTCTTCGGAGGAAACTCGTTGCGGATATGAAAGTTTTAGCTCTCCTTCGCAGATAGAAAACGTCACAACTTAAATCAACCGCCTGCAGCTGGTGAACGTCGGTTAGTTAATCAATACGAAACTGGTGCAGACTTAAATTCAACGGAAGTGTTACTATTTAAATAATTAAATTTTTAATGTCCGCCTCCTCCTCCTCAAATGCATGCGAGGGACGGCCATGTCTTGATGTATTGAAGTGCCGCCGCATCCACACCCACGTGCCTGGGAACAGCGCGGGGCTGGCGGGCGCGCTGGGCCGGGCCGGGGCGTTGTTCGCAGCGTTGCTGTTCACTCGCGGCAGAATCGCAGGCGCCAGTTGCGAAATTCCGCCGTCCGCGGTGCGTGATGCGGGCTTTCACGCGCGGTTCCCCGCCGCCGCCGCCGCCCGTTCGCTAGTCCTCCGGCGCGCCGCGTTGGCTCGTACTACGCGGAGCCCTTTTCCCAGCTTTCTCTCCCGTCTGGGAGCCCGTTCGTTCTTTTCTCTCCGTGTGCTTCGGCCGCCGCGGCGGAGAAAGAAAGCGGAGTGGCGAGCGCGCGGGCGCGGGCGCGCGAAAGACGCGGCGCAGCGAGGACGGGCGTGGCGGGCCAGCCCTTCCCACGGAGTCTACAAATCGCTTGTCTCCGGGTTGTCCACGAGTCTCATACAGAAGGCGGCTCCACTGAGGTGCTAAGGAAGTAATATATTTCCTCTTGGACGCGGAATTTTTCGTCAAGACACGAGCCAGTAGACATTCGGCATTCGCGAGCGACTACTCGCCCTATCCCGAATACGTAAGGTACTCGACGACTGTTAGATTCCGTTGATGTGTGAAAAAGACCGACACTCCGTGCGTCGGGCGAGCACCGAATGTTCGCAAATGGCAAGCGACCCATTCATTCTACTCGGGATGAGGCGAGCAGTCGCTCTGTACTCGCCGAATACCGAATGTGTGCAGCTGTCTTGGCGCGTGCGTCGTTTGGGTTGGAAGTCTAGCTACAAGAAAGAGGAAAGGAAGCGTTGAAAAATCAACGCCGAAGAACGCGTTGAATTTGGAAAGTAAATGTTGGGAGAAAGGAAGATAAGACATTAATTAAAAAAAAAACACCTCTGTACTATTAGGCTTTTGGAGAATGAGACGTAATAATTTTATTGGTAAACTACTGTCCATTTTATCGTTCACTGGCGTATTGTCTTGACGAATCTTGTATTCGAAGAAGGCAATGTATGTGAAATAATTTCCTAACAAAAGGTAAAAGGTGTATTTTCTGATGTACACTTGATTCAATTTGATTATGCCAGTATTTCACTTTCGAAGAGCTAATATTATTTTTCTATGTGGAGTTTGATTAAATTACTCAGATGATGATTACCTCTGATACTTAAATTCCATTTGAATAACATACCGTGCAAGAATCTTTCGGCAACTTCGAATACCTTTCCTTCAAGAAGAGCTCGGCATTTCCTTGCTCAATAATAGGAATCAGCCGATCCATTCAGTTTTAAATTAGTTCTGATCAGTGCGAATTTTAACGAACACTGGTCATCGGTAGTGAAGATCAGCTGACATTAGACTTCCAACTTTTCTCAATTAACTAATTCTGGAAGTTCTCTCATTTCTCGAGAGCTATCGATAAGGAGTTGGTAAGTCCCTCAAATCTCCGCGCGGCGCCCGCCCTCTTCTCCTCTCCCCCTCCCGCGTCCGCTTCCGGAGACGGATGGGCTGTGCAGGAACGCGAAGCCTCCCGAACAAAAGAAACAGCCGGCAGGCAGTTCGTTTCCTGGGAAGTAGATGAAACGGAGGGACGGGCGCTCGTCGACGAGGTCATAAAGGCTAGAAAACGGAGAGGATTCTGCGTCGGCAGACTGTAGCATTTGACCGGCCCGTGTGTATTGAACTATTCCCTGCCCAAGAGG